TCTGTCGCCAAGTTGAGATTAAGTTCAAATTAATTATTTTATATCGCACAAGAATCTTACAATGTGCAACTAAAAAGTTATTTCATCTTTTAAACTAGTAAAAGTAGGACATATAATCATTGCATTTTATTACATTGAATTTATCCGCTGAAACACATATCGTGCGGTAAATTTTATGTGTCGTATTTAATGATTGCTTACTTTTATATATTATGCACAAAGAATTACGGGGTGTAAAGCTAAGGCAAAATGGAGACAGCTTTCTCATCATTGTAATTCTAAATAGTAATAAAAGATTTATAGTTTTTTAATATTGTATATAATAAATTATTATATCTCATAATCTTTAACAATACAATTTATGAATATTGAGCCATTTCCTATTTACCAAAATCGATGCAACTGTATAAGTAAGTACGTGGCTTTGTTTACCTGAGCCACCAGTGGCTCTTTCCATTCATTTCGATGCACTGATTATCTAAGAACACACCCTTTTCTACCTTCTCGTCTTAACATCTTACCCGCTTTCATCATATATATGCCCTATTACCTTTTTTTCTCTCATTAAATTGATAGACGTCCAAAATCTGGTTCTAAATACTAAGCCCTTATAAAATTTAAACGACTATTTTGACGGCTCCGTGGCGCAGTTGCTTAGCAATGAGTTGTTGCGCTGGGGGCCGCGGATTCGAATCCCGCACGGAACAAGTATTTGTATGGCCTACTAATAATTGTTCCGGGTCTGGATGTTTGTCCTCGTGCAATCTATGTTTGTAAACTGCCTCCACGATACAGGAGAAAATCTTAGTGTGGGGTAACGTTTAAAAAAAAACTATTTGGTAGAGATTCAAAACCTAGCTCGCCCGTTGTATACTTGTGGACAAAGTATCGTAATGCTACGTAATAATTATTTATTATTTAGACTATTCTAAGCCAGCGCTTAACTACTACTCTTTTTTAAAAGACGTGATTTATTCAAACTATGTGTGCAAGGTATCCAGTAATCCTAACAATCTTATTATGTTTAATAAACATCTGCTTTAAGGTTACACCGAGTTCTTCTATGTTTACGCGAATACGTATGGGATTTTAACAACATCTGAAAGGAAATAAAAAGATTAGCTTGTGTTAAAATAACTCTTCGTCTTATTACAATAAATTTAATTAAGCCCGATGATTATCGTTGTTCATTTATTATATTCTATCAAAAGTACATACACGCAATCTTAGATGTCTCCCACAGATAAACTTAATAGGGAGAATATTTGCCATAGTAAGTTGGCACGCTTGACAGTTGACAGCAATATCTTTTTTATTACTGAGATGTTTTCAGGGAGATACTGCTATCCTTCTCCTATTCTAGTTTCCCTCTGTTGCTTTTTATTACACCAACGTGATGATATGGGTATAAATATGTATTTTAATGTCTTAAACCACATTCTTACCACGTGTTCGATGCGTATTCCGCCAGATATTACTGTTCCCTACCAAAATTAGTAAGTAAAACACAATACTTATAAAATCACTCGGCGGCTACCTGTCTGCCACAGTCGTATTGTCACTTTTTATCCTAATACAAACGAGAGTTTCAGTATTCAAATTATCGACTTAAGGGGGTTAGTTTTGGGATTTAAAAACAGGGAGCTAAAACATATTTAGGCAGGTAATCGTCATCGTGTGTGGTGTCGAATAAGAAGCAGTATTTCAAAAAAAAACTAAAAAGTTAGGGAGAATATTACGTCCCACAGGCTTCCTCTTATATCTGAGAGGGTTATATCGCAATTAATCCACCGATCGCTCCAGTGCATATTTGACTTCAAAAGTTCACATATCCTTTGCAATGTGGTTGGCTGGTAGAGATCGCTTCTAAGCGATAAGACCGCCAATTATAGCTTTAAATAATTTGTTATTTTTTTCTTCTATCTTTTTTGGTGTACAATATAGTACATATCATTCATTCATTTCATTCGTTTCATTAATTTCATCATTCATTCATTCAGGTCTCTTTACGATATTTTCTCGATCGTCTAACACATTAAATCAGCACTTAAAATTGCAAATAACAATTTCATTGGCACCTGTGATGATCGAACCGAAATTGCTCGCATACTGTAAAATTTTGCACTAAAGCTATCCACACTTGTATTAAAAAATGTTTATAAATTATGGAATATATAGTTGATTATTTTTATATTAATAATTGATTATTTTGCCTAATTACTAGTAGTTAATTAAAGAATAGTAAGTAAAACGTGCATATATCCTTGCTGGGAAAATGCCTTCTCTCATTACTGAGAAATTTTTGGGGTAGAGAAATCCCTCACACTGCTCAAATACATGATGGCGGACCTCACATTTACTCGAAACACTTTTTTAAATTCTCAGACATCACCGCCAAACAAATTGTTGTGCTGGCGAGAATCAGATTCGGTGAGCTCATGTACATTACATTTTTAATCCCTGAGCTACACGGGTAAAATTTATTATTAGCACCGATCACTTATTGTGTAAGTATGCCTTTCACACCATTACTTTTATTGGTCAAATATGTATATGTATTTATATTTATATTCTATAGGGTAGAAAACTGAATAGAAACCTGTGCATGGTTGTGCAGACAACACGCTAATACGCTATTTAAAAATACAATTAAGAATTATTTTAAGTACAACCAAATAATACAAGTAAAAAAAATACAATACAAAATTAAACTTGAGGAGCAATTTATAAATATAATAATTATCTTTATATATAAGAATTACGTGTCACATTGTTTGTCCGCAATGAACTCCTAAACTACTAAAGTGATTGCAATGAAAATTTTGACACTGTGTGCAGTTTGGTCCAACTTGAGAGATAGGATAGTTTTTATCCCGATAAATGACCCTCAAAATTGTTTATTGCGAATTTAAGGATTTTTATAGGAAGGGTCGTTGGATAGGGCAGAACAACGTCTGCCTGGCGAGCTAGTTACATATAAATTGTAAGATGGGTACTTATGTAACTCGTAATTAATTGGGTAATTTATCAATAACTAAAGGAAAAACATCACATTTTCCATTTTATAATAGAAGGTGTCGTGATAAACAACTAGACGTAGTTTCAAATTATGGATAGCATATTATTTATATTATATTTATCGAAAACTACTCAGTTTTAAAAGCTCTGCATTACTCACATTACTTGAAGCTGTTATTATGAAAGTAAACTTCAAAAAAAGACAAAGAAAAACCTTTTCAGTTCCGTAGATGGATAATAATTAGTCTATATGTTATCTTCTACATACCAAACATGGCAATCCGTTTGTTAGTTTTGCGTGTCACATAGATACATAAACACGACAAAGATAGAGAGATACGAGTAGACAGAAATTCTTAAAACCAATAACTTTGCTTCAGTGTTCATGTTAAACCCTTGGACTGCTTGTTAGAGTGCAAAACTACCAACACATAGCCTAATAAATATAGTAAATAGCCTTGCGCACGTACCACTTTATATCGTGAATATAGCGCATTGAAAACTAAACAAAAGACAACGGCGTCTTCTACTCGTATTTGCTACGGTGTATGTACTCGTAGTTAGATCGTAGAATTACGCAGATTGTGATCTGCCTTGGTATTTCATGATACGACGATGGAATGGTAGGTGCATTTGTATTTTTGGCAAAATTAACAGAAGTCACATAAATTATCGGCCATAATATAAAATCGGGAAGTAACATGAAATGATCAGGTAGTGATCTGCCCAATTCTACGAACGCACTACGACATTACTATTCGCCTTCGGCATCTCACAAATCTGCGAGCATTTGCAAACAGTCGACGCTGGTATTGTAACAAAATAAACAATTTGCTGATATCGTAAATATTACGATATATTGAACATAAAAATACCATTTAAAAAACTGGAGTAACAAACATATTTAATAAATGATCTATATACATCACATTTACATCGAGGATAAATGTAAATGTCTACGGGGCACAGCGCCTTGTTAGCTTAGATAGTTAACGATTCCTGTAAATTTCACAGTACGCGAGCAACCCGGGTTCGATCCCCGGCGGCACCAATGAAATTGTTAATTGCAATTTTAAGTGCTGATTTACCACGTGGTAGAGCCATGCTGCATCTATATTAGTAGTAATATAATTGTAGCACGAATGGGTCGGCTCAACTGGGGAAGGACCACGCTCTCGCGGAAAACCAGCGTAAAATAGCAGCTTGACGCTGCTGTGTTTCGTATGGTGAGTGTAAAGAACCGGAGATCCATTTTACTGGAAAAGAGGCATTCCATGTTAGTCCTCACGGATGACGACGCATCTGCATTTTGATACTTTATTAAGGATAAATGTCTATGGGTCACAGCAACCATTTACCTTTAGGTGGACTATGTGCTCGTTTGTCACCCTTTCCTATAAAAAAATACGTGCTCGATGGTGAAAGAAAACACCGTGAGGAAACCTTCATATCTGAGAAACAAGAAAAAAATGTTTCGAAGACATGTGAAGTCCGCCAACACGCATTGGGGCAGCGCAGCGATCACTTTCTGGCCCAAAAACCCTCTCAGAAATGAGAGGAGGCCTGTGCCCAGTAGTGGAACGTATATAGGCTGTTACTTTAACTTTTAACTTTTATGGGCCCCAGCATCCACTTACCAGGTGAACTGTGTGCTCGTTTGTCAACCATATTCTTTAAATAAAAAACTTAACTTACAGCTTACTTGAATGTACTCGTAAGCGGCTTCTGCAGTACATAGACGCCTTCAAACAAGGAAGGTGTTACGTTGTTACCTCTGATTAAACTGACTCACTATACCTTTCAGAGTGGAATACAAAGGTGCAGACGTACTCTAAAGCAAATTAGGACTACAATCAAATATTTTTTTTAATTGATTTACAATATAAAATATGATATTAATACATAACGTGAAAAAAAAAGCACTTTATCTTTATTTATTGCTAAAATATGTTGAAAAGGGCTCTTACTAATTTTATCTCTAGGTGGCAGTTCTGCAAGTTTTCGCAAAATACAAAAGTCAGATTAATGTGGACCTCGGAGGGGAGCATGGACGCACTGCTTTGCACTTCGCCGCCATACATGACCATGATATGTGTGCCAGGGTTTTGGTATGTTATTGGTGATTTTAATTTTTGTATAGAAGTACGCTTTCGTGATTGTGTCAACTTTTCTCCTTCATCTGCTTCAACAGCTCATTTAAAATCCTCTTCTGGACATGGGCCTCTCAGGTCGTAGAGAGCAGATTGGCGATAGCAGTAGGTACTGGTTGGTGCCCGTCGCCGGTCTGTCAACCGTCACACACGTCAACCTTTTTTAATTTAAGTTTTATTGACAATTATTAAATGTTCTCTACATTGAATCTAGTATTCTTTTCATTAATATATGGTTGACGTTGAAAGTTTTCAGAAAATTAATAAGGAACAAATTAGTAGGTAAACCACTGAGTGATGTAGTGGACTAACTTACCTTTACTTGTCTCCTTTACGACCAATTCAAACGCAGTCATTGTAACTTGGTTCGTGAAACGGACATCTCAACGTTCGTTCTTGACACCTCTGACACAGATCATTAGTAAGATCCCTACCACCACGCCTAAACTTATTGAACTGGTTGTAAACAAATAGGGCGTCATAAAGAGATGCCATGTCACCGACGAAGAACGCAACATATAACAAACTTGTAATAAATCATTGAGAAAAAATGTTCCCGCGTAAAACTCATCTTGACACACGACGTGTACTTTTCAAATAACCGTCAGTTTGTGACATGACAAATAAATTTAAATATAATTAAAGTAGCTTTTTCCCGTAGCTCCGCTCACGTTTAATTAAAAGGCCAATGTATTTTTATTACTAATTTTTTTTCTAATTAATAGTTTCAGAACGCGAAAACTATACTAAATCAAGTCTTTAGAATACGCTCATACGAAGTGTATTTTAAAGACTATGTTTATTCGTTTGATTCAGATAAAATATAAATTTGGGCTGTAAAACACGTGAGCCAGCTACGTAGAGCTGACTGCGGGAACAACATGCTATACTCAAATGCAATCCCTTTATAAGTTCACTCTTGAGATTTGTAAATTTTCATTAAAAATGCTAATGAAATTGAAAAAAGTTAAATGAAAGATTACTTAATATATACTTTTAATCTCCTACTTTTAATTCCAGCCTATAGGATGGTACCCCGGATAACTCCAAAGAATTTAAAAGCTTTATAGAGTAGGTAGTGGTATGATCATAGATTATATTGTACTAAAGTTTTGCTTGTGATAAAAACAAAAAATTATTTATCAACAAGCAATTAATGCAACTGAAAAGATAATAAAGGATAAAACCTATCGGACAAAACGTAGTGACTGAACATAGATCAACACGTGCCACCGGCGAATTGGAGGGGAGTAGCCATACGAAGGCGGTCCCCTCTGTCAAAGTAAAAGTCCACGCAATTCATAAAACTAATTGCAACCGCACTGCTCACTAAACTATGTCTAGTTGCGGTGCTAAAATAATTCTTACACAAACTATCTTTTCTGCGATACCACGACATAGCCGAGTATGTCAATTTACATTAGAATCCATCCCAAAATTCTGCATGCGTTATTGAAGAACAAACATCCAAAAAAACTTACCGTAGATTTAATTTTGACACCACGTTACAGCATGCAAAAACGTCATTATTTTATAAACAGATATCCGATTTGGGCGCAGAATGCAAGCGTCCATGCAATAACGGCTATTATCCAATCCACGAGGCTGCGAAAAATGCTTCATCTAGGACCATGGAGGTGTTTCTACAATGGGCAGAATCTAGAGGCTGCAGCAGAGAACAAATGATATCACTATATGACAATGAAGGCAACGTACCATTACATTCAGCAGTACATGGCGGTGATATTAAAGCTGTGGAACTATGTCTAAGGTCAGGTGCAAAGATTTCAACTCAGCAACACGATTTGTCTACGCCGGTTCACCTTGCATGTGCTCAGGTAATACCACAAACTATATATCTCATTGTTTTAGTTTCCGCATACTGCTGAATAGAAAATCTAAACTTTTCTAATTGGGGTTTTAGGTATATGCCGTGTAGTAGCGGCGTAAGTGAACCCACTATTCCAGGGGTGGCAAACCGTTATGTATCAACGTGCTGTTTTTTAAAGAAATGTTTAATGAGGTCATAGACGTGCCGCAAAATAATTTTTACTTCGTGATAACCTCCACGCTCAAACACTCCGTAGTGTAAGATCACTCGCGTTCGTTCATAATATAATACTTCGTAGTAAACGGTTTGCCATCCATGCATTATACCATATTCGTAGTGGTCGTAAGAGGCGAAAGAGGGAAACTAAAAACAGGTGATGGTCAGGAGCAGGAAATAATAACTCAAAATAATAAAAAAACGTGGCAACTATCAGTACTATGAGGCAGTCTATAGGGGAAGGCTATGTTCAGCAGAGGATCTTTGTTAGACTGCTGGTCTTTTTTATAGAATTAGTGCTAAAAACGAGTATACAGTCAACGTGATGGTAGGTAGATGTTGTGGCCCATAGATATTTACATCTATTCTGGATTAGTAATCAAAATACCAATGCATTGTCACCTCTGATGATTAAGATGGGATGCCTCGGTTTCAGTAAAAAGGGTCTCCAATTCTTTATACCCTCCATACGAAACAGCAACATTAAGCAGTTATTTTACACTGGTATTCTGTGGGAGCGTGATCGTTCCCCGGCTCGAACTATTTCATACTACAACTATATATACTATTTTTATGTGGTATATAGTCGTATGTATTGTAACATATATTGAAAGATTTTTAGTTCATACTAATTGATCAATGTAGACACCGTCCCGCATTAGTAATACTGCTCCCAGTCGCTAATTCTCTTTATTTATTTCATTAGTGCTACTCATTACAGTCCATCAAAAGTCCACTGTTAAATATAGGCCTCGCCATAGATTTTCTCATAAGGGGAATATTTACTAGCGTACAAATGCGTGGCGATCGGGTTGGCAAACGGACATTTTGTATTATTTACTTTATTTAGTCTGTTTCCCTCTGTCGCGTTTTACTACACCCATGAGACGATATGGGGTAATTGATATTCTTACACCGTCATTACACAGTAAATTATTGACGAGCAGTGTGATTTTATTTATTAGCAGGGTTAACACACAAAGGTTACGGTTAGCACTAGAAGAGGAATTGTTACATTTTCTGTATCCCAATTATCTGTATGTAGATAATTAGTTTTAATTTACAGGGTGCTTTAGAAATTGTCAAATTGATGTTCGAAATGCAACCGAAAGAGAAAATGGCTTGTTTAACCTCGTGCGATGTTCAAAAAATGACTCCACTACACTGTGCCGCTATGTTCGACCATCCTGATATAGTGAACTACTTAATTTCTGAAGGTTCAGATATTAATCCTTTGGATAAGGAAAGAAGGTCACCGCTTTTGCTAGCCGCTTCAAGGGCAGGCTGGAGAACAGTGCATACATTGGTAATATGGTTTTACTTTCAATGTATTTAGTTCCGTTCTACATTGTTTTATCTCAACATAATGTCGGTCATCATTCCTTTTCTTCTTTATGAAACCAAAACTTTTCTTATATATTATTATTATATTTTAAAAGCATCTTATATATTACTTTATTTTTAAAGCAGTGTTTTACGATAAAGTGCAAAAGATCGAAAAAAAAAACTGATGTCGACTTAACATAGCTCCTAGAACTAAGATTTTTGTAAAGAAGTGATACTGGCACTAAAAAATAAAAATACATTACTCTTAATTTGCATATAAAAATGTATAAAAAATATCTATAGATTATTATATTAGACCTACTTTATAAAGATTAGTTTCCATAAAAGTTTTTTACTTACACAACACTTATTTCACCTTGACTTCATATTTACACAACATCTAGAGAATATTTACAATATTAAGAATCAAAATAACACCTTCCATAAGCAATCAGTATATTTAAATCATATTGTTATATATTTAGCAAGCTCCTGAAAGGGTAATAAATATATGCGATAATTCATTCATCGTTCAACAACAACAACATTCATTCCACATTCAACAAATATTTTCCTAAAGTCTTGAAACTATACAGCATACATTCAATTATCCACAGATGCATCAGCAAGATACAGAAGAAGAAGAATGTAAAATAATTTAAATATTTACATCAATTTACAGATCCGCTTGGGTGCCGACATTGAACTTAAAGATGTAAACTTAAGGAACTTATTGCATCTAGTCGTAATGAATGGCGGTCGCCTTGAGGAGTTTGCAGCCAACTGCAAAGTAAGAATCCTTAAAAAATAAGTGCGTGTAAACTTTACGCGCGGTTAAAGTAAAATTACTTAATTATTAATAAATATTACCATTTATTTCTTTTCATTAATTTTTTTAATAAAATTCTCTTATATTGTTTTTTCACCTCTCAAAACATTTTTACATTCTTTTCCTCGTTCCATGGTAGTTCTTTTTTAAATTGAATACGGGTGACTAATGAACACACAGGTGGGTGGCCCATAAGCATATACATCCGTCATCGATTAAGAATCAATATAATGATGCGTTGTTACCCCCGAGGACCATGATGGATTGACTCATTTCGGAAAAAAGGGTCTCCGCTTCTCTACACTCACCATACAAAATACAGCAGCATTAAGTTACTATTTCACGTTGGTAATCGATGTCATAAAAATAATCAATAATATATAATTAATACATCTTTTATAACCAATAGTTTTAAATATTCCTTCAACATATCATACATGATCTACCTTGTTTAGATAGCTCTCGTGGTAGTTAAAATAATTTCGTAGGTATTTCATTAACTTTTAACAAGGACGAAACTGATATAAAGAAAATAAATTAAGGTTCTAGCATTATCATCCTACAGGCTCCACGGCACAGTGGCTTGGCAATGAGTTGTTGCGCTGGGGCCCGCGGGTTCGAATCCCGCACGGAACAAGTATTTGTATGGCCTACAAATAATTGTACCGGGTCTGGATGTTCGTCAGTGTGCAATTTATGTTTGTAAACTGCCTCCACGATACAGGAGAAAAGTAGAAGGAGTAACGTTTTTATAAAAAAAAAAACACCAAATTTGAATATTTTCCTTAGTTTAGTTTTATTTATTTCTTCAACAATTATTCAATTGTTATAATTATATTGATTAACGGGTGCTGTGCACTTCAATTTCCAACCGCTACTAATAGGTCGGCGAAAAATTTTCTTCGTATTTTATATATACAAATGCATAACATTTTTTTTTTCAAAGTTTAATTACCTACATTTAATTATAACATATATGTGCCATTTTGTTCGATAACTTGTTGCCATCTTGTGGGTAGTGAAATAATCCCATTGCAGTAGAAATATTGGAATTTTTGATTAAAAAAAAATGCGACAAGTGGTTATGACAGTCCTCCTATATCTATGTGTTGATATTAAAACCAGCCATATACAAACATTACAACCAAAGACATTTTTCTTTTATTTTTTACAAACAAAATACGAAGAAACCTTTTCCCCGACCTATGAACAGATGTACTTAGCTCATAGAAACTATAGATTGCATTAAGGGGAGCTTGTTAAGTGTGTATATATGCGTATTTCAATTATTTAGCAAATTTATTATGGTGTTCAAAATACCTTGTGAACAAAAAATATTGGAGCACTTATTTAATGCGGTACAACTGTATGCTTCAGAATCGTTGTGAGAAGAGTTTAATCCTGTTATTGAATGAGAAAGACAACACAGGATGCTCGCCACTGCATTATGCGAGCCGTGAAGGACACATCAGATCCCTCGAAAATCTCATCAGACTTGGAGCTTGCATCAATCTCAAGAATAATAACAACGAAAGTCCATTACATTTTGCTGCTAGGTACAAAAATGTCATTTTTGTTAATATAGCAACAACATCGTAAAATTTACGATTTCTTTTTAATATAACATTATGTAATAAGAATTAACTTACTTTTTATCTCATACAAATTTATCTATTTTAATGTTTTATTCTTCTAGTATGACATCATCAAATATTATTTCTTAATAAGCAGCTCTTACTTTTAAGTCTATACTAAAAACTAAACTAACTAATGTTTAAACTACTAACTAATTTTTAAACTAATGACTAATGTCTAAACTACTCTGTGCATTGCAGATACGGTCGCTACCACACAGCCTGTCAGCTTCTTGATTCAGATAAAGGAACGTTCATAATTAACGAAAGCGATGGCGAAGGCTTGACACCGTTGCATATTGCTTCTCGAGAAGGTCACACTAGGGTGGTACAGCTTCTCCTGAATAGAGGTGCATTACTTCATAGAGATCATAACGGCCGCAATCCCTTGCATCTAGCTGCAATGAGTGGATATGTTCAAACGATTGAGTTGCTACATTCCGTTCACTCACATTTGCTGGATCAGGTCGATAAGGATGGTGTAAGTGTTGATTACATAAACATTAAGCCATTTTTTCTGTCTGTGGTGTCTTTTTCTTAAACTAGATTTCTTGTTAGTAGGTATTGTGTTAATAATTCAACCTACTTCACATTTATGTATAGCAAAGTAGACTTTGAATGCCAACTAATTTCAGTTTCGGCAGAAACCAAATTAGAATATCTAACAAATTAAAGACAGTCATATTTGTACATGTTTGATACTTAAGTGTCGTCATAGTAATTTTAGTTAATTTCTAATAAAAATTGTCTACCATGAATTAGTTACTTTAGTTACTAACTAAAATTTATTTTGAATTCAGAATACACCGCTACACCTAGCTACAATGGAAAACAAGCCAAATTCAATTGCGTTACTGCTGTCCATGGGATGCGGTTTGACCTACAATAATCTTGACATGAGTGCAATAGACTACGCTATATATTATAAATTTCCAGAAGCAGCACTAGCTATGGTTACTCATGAACAAAGGTGAAAACTACTTTCATTAATCAATAAATCACATCAACTGCCTTTTTTACTGGTTTTTCCAATAAATCATACACCAGCAAGCATTTTATAGAAGACTTGCTTATGCTCCCGTTATGTGAAGGCGGGCGTGTGAACCATAGAATACTATAAGTGTTATAGTATTCTATGTTATGAACCCAGTGGCTTAACTCTGCTTTTCCTTGGTAATTCTGGAAATACCATTACCATTCTGTAAAATATATGTTCGGCATTTTAGGGAGAATTTTCCTATCGGTCGGTCACCTAAGTACCTCGACTGTCAGTAAGCAAGGTATACCTACCGTATACAAACTAATTAACATTTGAAGAATGTATTGATGTATTCCGTTTTGCGTGATTCACCACACATCCCAATTAATTGGCTAAAATCCACGTAAAATATGATATTTAAACCAAAGTAAAAAATACGAAATTTTAATAATATGTTAAAATCAAGAAGAATATTTAAGATATAAAAAAAAAACTCAATTCAGTTCCATCACATTTCTGGTTTACTGTCGATCGGTGATCGATTACTCATGGTCACGGGAAAACTCCCCGTGACCTTGAGTAAAAAAATAGTTTTATTCAATGAATAAAATCATTCTATTATATTCTATTATGTTTATTTGTTCAAATATTACCCTCACATGCATGTGATGCGCTCCACTGATTGATTGATGAGGCTCTGAGTCTCCATGTTGCTCATACTCATATGACTTCAAAGTGGATTTTTGCGAGGGCCTTGTTAGAATAGGCTTATAATCAACTTCGGATCTAAATGGACTGTTGACGAAAACTTCACAGAGCTAAAGAAGTAATGGCACTCCGTTCGGATCGTCATCCATGCGTCACACTTGCACTAATCGCCTACATGCCACGTGTGTTTGAAGCAGTTCAAGATAAATGCATTACAAAAGCAAACTGCAAGAAAGATTCTAAAAGCTTTTACGTGAGTCACTTTCAATGGTTTCATTACCTATAAGCAATATAAATTTTCTCGCAGCCGTCTGACTAGGTGGTCATAATTATTAGTTTTTTGGAACACAGTTCCGTAGCGGACGGTACAGATTTAGGCGGATGAGGGTTAGGCCAGAAAAAGTGTAAGATTTTTCCGTAACGACCGCTTCTGACGTTGTGTAGACAGCCTTGGCAGCTATAAGGAAGCGAGATGGAATAACATCCATCTCCCTCGCACTTTTCTTATCTTGTCATGAAAGAAATACTATTTTATTTTAAATGGCGCTTCATTTTAATAGACGCTAGTAATTCATTTATTTGTGTTTGTTAATCAATAATATAATACGTTTATCAATAATAAACTACTACTAATGGAACTTTGTTCCAATAGAATATTCCAAGTTACTCACGCATGTTCTTTTTTTTAAATAAAATAAGTGACAAGAAAAATTACAATTCACCTGATGGTAAGTGGTTTGTAGTCCACTGGCACTTGCAACCAAGTATAAACAAAGAAGGTTACAGATGCGTTGTCACCTCTGAAGATCCCCACAGCCTATAGTTATTCTGGCTCTCTAAACCACGCAGACTAGAATAGGCACTGGTAGTTGGCGACAAAAAATTGTTAAGATTGTGGTGCCCACCCAGATGGACTCCTGCCACTGGGCAAGAATCCATCTTAGACACCACACATTTGAGTCCTAACACATTGTAAGTATTCAGACTTATTTAAATGATTTCACAACTAACAAATTATTATTGATTTTCGAGTCTGTTTCGGGTGACTGTCTCATGTCACACTAATCAAACCTAAAATTACAGGAACATAAATAGATGAATCTGGTTGCCACTAAAAGATGCATCCACAAACGTAAACATCTGAGCATCAGGATGACATTAGTGTTAATTGCTGTTTTGTAGCTGCCTATGATCATCATAATCATAATCGTCATTAATATTTTTCACAAGTCTACTGCTGAACATAGGACCTCCCCCAAGGACCGCCACAAAGCACGGTCCTGAGTCACCTGCATCCATCGACTTCTTGCATGTGTTACCAGGTTGTCACTCCATCTAGTGGAGGTCGCCGTACACTTAGCCTACCGGTACGAGTACGACTACTAACTAATCCGTTGGGCTATGTCGGTTATTCAGGTTCAACTGCGGATATTATCATTTCTAAGTCTACCATGCAGAGTAACCCCGAGCATAGTACTCTACATACTTCACTGAGTGACCTTAAGTTTCCTTATACAGCCATCAGCCAGTATTAAGCAAGGAGTCTAGTTATGTATAGTATATATAGTATAATTATTTTATCATATGTTTAATACTTTTACGAAATCTAGATAAAGTACAGCTTCGATGCACTATGTCCTCAAGTAAAGGACGAAGACGGTAACAGGAAAACAGAGAATGTCTTACAATCGCAGAATATACCGTTGCCAGCTCTTAACGTGAGTTTTAATTTTCAATGCATGATTAAAATTTAACTTATTTTTCGCTCACCACAGATTAAGTACTCTTTCAAATTCTACCAACATTCGAAGCTTGAGATAGAAGCGCTGAGACAGGCGCGCAACGACCCAAAGTTTCGACCCGAACCGTTGAATGTTATCAACGTGAGTGGAGTGTCACTTAAGTACACTGACGCTTCGCTTATATATGCCTTTGTTTGTGTCTGTAAGTGCCATGAGTCTAGTTAATTCAATTAACCCATTTAGAAAGTAATCGCACGGAAAGAAACAATTAGAACCTATACTATAGGTGTTAAGGCACATAATCGTTTTAACTACAGGAATGGGCAATGGAATATAATTTGTTAAATTATTACTCCCTAGTGTATTGTCTAATCATGGCATAACATTCTACAAAACAATTAATTTGCTTTTATAATTCATTGATTAAAATGTTTTTAATTTTATTCCAACTATGTACAATGTCTGATTTAACGTACTTGTTTGTAATACAGTTAACGAAATTAATTAGTTTCATGGCATGCATACCTGGCATCACACAGAGACACGGCATCGCTTACACTCCACGAGAAATTTCACACTACAATAATTGGTTACTGGGAATTTTGTAAATATCACGTGGTTTATGTTTTTTGTACGCAATGGGTGGTGATAATTACTTACTTTTAATCATTAAAGAATTTCGAATGATCAACATTAAAGTAATATTTAAAGTTTTAGTATACAAATATAGTATATAAATATTAAAATATAGTGTATAAATATTACACAAAACAAGTAATGTTTAATCTGTTATTCTTTAATGATTAATTAAAATAAGAACTCATTTGGTTTAACTTCTTTTTAATTGTAATTAAAATGTTTTCAGGCAATGGTAGCACATGGTAGAGTAGAACTGTTAGCTCACCCACTCAGTCAAAAATATTTACAAATGAAATGGAATTCTTATGGAAAATATTTTCACTTGGCGAACCTTCTCGTTTATTGCATTTTCCTGACTTTCGTTACCGTTTACACTTATCTTCTTATGAACGGTGTTCCTAAGTCCAGCTTCAACGTAAATCATACAAATATATGTACATCATCGAACAAAGCATTTAATAACAGTACAACAAACAACGGAACTGACACAAGTAATATCGAAGGCGGTAAGATTTTTTTTCTTTCTATGGTAAATTCAGTTTAAACTGAAATTATATAATTATCTATCATGTTAAACATCTTGACAAAAAACATATAGCCCTGGTAGCTACGGAGCAAGGATCTCATCTTACTAAAGTATGCGAACGGAATTAATTCGCTCCTTGTAAGCGGCATCGTAGATATTGTTAGTCGCATTGTAACCTCGTGTCCCAAAAAGTTAAATACATTTTGAGATACTTCGTTAACATGAACTATAGTAGTCCTTTTTTAGACATTTTCGATTGCATGCTTCATTGCATTTTGATTGGACAAAAATATTTTAATTTTTCAGATTTTGAGAAAGTGGTGGCAATGTGTACCAGTACCACGGCTATACTAATTTATAACAGTATTTGTCTAATACGTGAGGCTTACAACATTAAACAACAGAAATGGCACTATTTAGTAGATCCATCTAACCTGGGATCTTGGATGTTATATATTAGCTCCACGGTAATGTTGTTTCCGTCGATTTTCGGCGAAAATTGCGATGTTCAGGTATGTCCTATTGCTTTATATGATGTGGATGGATAAATATTTTCGATGGTGGGATCCTCTTGCCCCATTGAGACAGTGGTAAACGCAGAAATATCACATGGATACCTTAGATAATCTTACATCTCATATATGCCAGATGTAAATTATCCACAAAATCGCCTGCTAGCGAACGACCAATCACCTCTACAAAACGGGTTGTTTATGGTCCCGACAGATATTTCAATATAATCATCAGAAGTATTAATATATTGTCAACTTTGTAGGAGTCAAACACATGCAAACGTAAATTTACTCCTTCTCGAGTCCGATATTAGTCGGTTACTGTATTTTGAAAAAAAAAATGCCAACAAACTAAAAGGAATCCTTCATAATTATCAGCACAACGGATCGCAACCGATATGTGCAGTTCCGATTTCTTCACATTTCAGTTCGGTCTAATTGGAATAGATTTTCCATCATCTGGTGCCAAAATCTCTTTCTTCTACTATTGAGGTACATTATAATATGTAAGTGAACTTGGTATTTGGTCGGTAGAGTAATGTCTACCATCGTCATATTCACATGATACAAATTATTTCATATTATTCATTTCTTAAAGTACTGATGTTATGACACTTGACACTATAAAACATGAAGACGTTCATTGGGATGATTCATACTAGGCATAAATTCTCACAGTGTGGTGGTGTTGAACGAAGATCCACCCCATTATATTCAGTTAGAGTAGCAGGTCACATATCACATATCGATGAATGTCAGAAACAATTTATGAATTCCGATAAATTACGTTATAACAATCTCCTCACACCAATACGCATACGTCTAGAACTGGGATCAACCTGGGAGCCTACCGAATGTGACGATTAATGCAAATCTTCTCTTCAACGGAGACATCATGCTTGATAATGTACTTTTACAAGATAATGCAGAAAATTAGAAGAAAAACACAACTTTTCCTAATCATAACAGCAGCGCCATAATACTTTTAGCACTGTAATAACAAAGTTTTTGATAACTTTTCTGATATCATGTGAATTTATGATTTCTTTTTCAGTTCTCGGCTGCATCTATAACGGCATTATTATCTTGGTTCGAGTTACTTCTGCTTCTTCAACGCTTCGATCAAGTTGGCATCTACGTGGTGATGTTCTTGGAGATTCTACAGACACTTATCAAAGTGTTAATGGTGTTCTCCATTCTAATCATCGCTTTTGGCCTGGCGTTTTATATATTACTTTCTAAAGTGGGTGGTTATATCAATGTAATAGTAATATGGAGGAAGATATCTAAACATGCTTTTATGAGATTCTTTTTAATTGTTTTTTAATGCTTTGCGATCATGACGTCATGAAAACTATTTAGGTTATTCGATTCGATTTCTGAAAACATTATCTTCTTTTCTGTTTACATTTTTACGATTAGGATATTTGATAGTGATATTAAATTTATTAGTCGCTTTAGTTTTGAAGTTTAATGTTTTCAAATTGATAGAATATATTATAACAAACATGCTTGCGAGATTTTAAAAATGCTCCGCTATTTTCAGCATGGCAATTGTGATGGCGATTATATCTTGTTATTGAAATAGATTACGAAAAATTTCCTTTGCAGGGTAACCACTTGTCTTTTAGTAGCATTCCTATGTCACTGATGAGGATTTTCGCGATGATGCTTGGAGAAATTGACTTCGTTGGAACATACGTACAGCCATATTACAAATCTGAGACCGATGTCATTCTACCATTCTCGATGTCAACGTTTTTTATACTGGCCGTATTCATGGTTCTAATGCCGATTCTCTTAATGAATCTGCTCATCGGTTTGGCTGTGGGTGACATCGAAAGTGTACGAAGGAACGCCCAGCTTAAGCGTTTGGCAATGCAGGTAAAGATTATTTTAGCTTGTGCAATGTATTTATTATAATTTACAAAGTTTTTTCTACTTTTGTAACATTATTCGTAAGAACACTTATATCTGGAATAAAACTAAGCCGTTTAGACAAAGACGTCTACAAAAATAGCTAGTTAGCTATGGTTGGGGGTTCTAGTTGTTATATTTTGAGAAATTCAAGAAATGTCTAATGAAATACACAATTTGTGAATTCAGTTGATTCCATACATATTATTTAAAATTATATTGATAATTATTTTATTATTATAAATGTACAGTTTTAATTTGATATTATATTATAGAGCCACATAATATTTTTAGAAGAATCTTTAAGCCGTATTCATTTTTGCCATTATTTATTTCTCCGTTTATTTATTTTATAAATATGTAGGAAATTGAATCTGGCTGCACGCACAGACTAACATCATCTTTAGAAGTCATATCATTTTTAGATGAAGTTTTAGTCATATTAATTGGGCTTTAAGTTAAAAAAATAATTTGAATAAAATAAAAAATGTTTTAATAGAAATTTGATGTAATAATATGCGAGATACACTAATTAAATCAACATGTTTTGTTGGCACATAAAGTCCTCATTAAGCTGCTATACTTATTTAGAATTTTACGTGACATTCTAACCTGCGGAAGAGCATGACGCTTCAAAAATACAATTTTTTACAGATCTTCTAAACATCCCGTTCTTTTTAACGAGGAATTTGAACATAGATACACACAACTAAAATCATAACCTCCTTTTAGCACGCCGTAGTCGGGTGAAAATTAAATTGCATTGTATTTATATCGTGAATGAAAACAACCTCAATAGTTAAAGCTGTGGAGCTAAGCGCTCGCCGTAAATTTGATTTCAACTCGGCTCAATCTCCGCTGGCGCTAATGAAATTATTGCAGCAGTTTTATTTTCTTATTTACCAAACGTTCAGTGTTGAGGGTAATCATTTCGAGGAAACTAATCAAATCTCATACTCACCGATTACCTCGTTTTACATATATTTATTAATTTTATAAGTACATTCATTTTTGGCATTGATTTTTTTCTACCCACTCACATAATTTATCTTCACTAAATTTGGATACTGGATGGCAAAATTAAAGTGAAAATTGAATATTTTGGCATCTGCGTTCGTTTACAGCACTGACCTCTATACACGGACTGGCTATACACGGTGACATGATGAGGCGATTTGATTTTCGCCATTCTGGCGCTGACAGCAGAAGTGAACGTCCACGGAACTAATAATAGAGATAAAACAGTGTGATTAAATATGTCAATAAAATTCTATACCCAAGCCTCGTAACGTCAATTCTATTAATGTATCACATTAATATAATCCCATACAATAAATAAATATCTCAAATAATACATAGGCCTTAGACGCTAGCCTCATACCTCACATGAAATCAAGATCGACGCTACGTTGGTCTATCTACTTTTTTATTCGTAATTACAGAACGGATTTTGCTCTGGATTTTAACATTGGGTATATTGGTTCCTTCGCGAGGTTTATATTATATTCAATTAGTACTGGAAAATATTCAACTGTTGTAAATAAATATGCAAAATAAAAATAAAAGCACAATTTCGCAAATAATTTATTGTCAACCGGACATTCAATTTTAGTATTATAGAAAATAAATCAGCTGCTAAAATAACGCCTATTCTTATTCTAATTATTTATAGGTCTGTCTATAGACAGAATAAACTAAATATTTATTTAAAAATAATATTTTTTACGTATTTTATGTACTGCCGTATAGTTCATCATGTTGCGATAAAACTTTGTCAACTTGCTTGCACTTGCGTAAATGTTATAGGCATATTACAATTAAAGTTGAAATTAATGATAATACAATCATTAAATTTCAATGATTGTATTATCATTCCTAATTGAACAATACAACTCTACCAAATTTAAAACAACATTTCTACAATTATTTGCGCCGGGTATGTGATATAATATATAAAATAAGATATAAAAAACATATAAACTTTAAATAACATAGTCAGTAGGGACCGGATTATATGCATTTGCATATTTAGCTCTTTTCAGCGGTAGTTCCATATTTTAGAAAGAAATTTGAAATCATGCATATTTCGACTAAATAAATAAATAAATAAAATTTCGCTCAATCTCCAAGAAAATTCGTCTTATGAACTCCTCGTTGCCAGAGCTATTCCCTGGGGTTTGAACTCTTATGCCAAATTGATAGTTTCATCAACAGGGCGGGTGAAATTTTACCCGGCACAATAAGTCCAAACTTCCAAATTTAAATCCTGCCCAGTCACTTCAGTGGACGTAGAATGGTCCTTATCCACTTACAAAAATGTATTAAGCGATCGTAGACACAACTTGTCTACAGACCATTTGCCAAAGTACTTAGTTGTATACATTTATAAAGGTAAATTGTAAATTTTATTGTTAAATATATTTTGTACTTGATATTTTCGCAAATACGACTGTTATCGTTTAGAAATAACAACTTTTTAAATTAAATAACATTTAAAAATACTTTTTTATTATTTCATGTTCCATATTTGTGCTTTTTTATAGATTTTCGTGCACAGTGTAGCAATTTTTCTTGCAATATGGGAATGCATATTTAGGGGCTTTTTATGTTGCATATAATCCGGTCTTTAGTTATCAGTTATTTAAAAGTTCATTCGAAATCCAAATTACAATATTAAAAAACTATAATTAAAAAAATCTGAAATTATCATACAGTCTTACTTCCCACGATATAGTGCCAAGAACCCTGGCTGCGTTTCCTCTCTGAATGACTATACTTAGCCATTGAGCGAGAGAATAAGTCGCGGATAGTTTTTTTAGAAACTTCAAAGCACGTGAACCCCACGGACCGATAGTCATTACAGCAAATGGCACAAATATGTACTTATCTCTCAGATACTCATATTTGGACTACTTACTTAGTTCAGTTGCTTCTAATGTCACACCTGCTTTAAACGAGGTGAGATGAGAGGCTGCCAATGTGTGTTCGCAAGTAGTATCCCACACTAAAGCTTTATCTCTCTCCCAAACATCCAAAGTCATAACGTCAGGTCTCCTGCCATCGTCTCTAATTATTCTACAAAGGTCTAAATCCAAGGGAACATTTATAGAGACACGAGCTCTTAAGATGACATCGTTCAAAGAACCATGACGGGACAACATTACATTAAAGAATACGATACTATTATTACACAATTATTTAACCGTGTAATAAAATATGGTATTAAGGGTGAATTCGGCCAAATACCATATTACACCATAGTAACCAAAACCCGAATAATTTTACTGTTTATTCTTACTCTGATAACTTGTGTTTTTCCAACACAAAAGTGGAGTAGTCAATGCTGGGTATTATTACTCTAGAGTTAGTGTATCAATAATAACAGCAACATTTGATAATTATCTGTGGTCGATGACTTTGGTTGTTAACAGATCATCGATAAGAACATTACGATAATATTATAGACAAAGAACTCGACAACCCTATTGAATTTTATTGTTTATCAAAACGCAGTAATTTAAATCCAAAGATGTTGGTAATTACGATATTAGATTAGTAACAAATTTTCAAGTACCTATATTATCAAATAACCTTATAATCTAATAACTATATTATAAAAAAGTCTTTAAGAGCTATTGGGCCCTAAAACATCCAACCCCGCCTTGACAAAACCTGTTCTCTTACCAAACAGCAGAGGTCCGATCTCGGGATGTGTCTGCAAGCAATGGAGTCAGACTAAGAGACCGCGTCAGAAATACCACTCTGCGCTCCAGAACCCAAACAACTTACGTCTCCCGTAAATCCGCCAAACTAAAATGGGACTGGGCCTGGACTTTGGGCCAAAATTACAACTTGGTAGACTCCTATCAATGACAGACGACCCCGAGGTAGACCCAGAAAACGATTGCTGGATGAACTGGACTCCATAATGGACCATAGCACAGAGCCGTGAAAGGTGAAAAGAGGTTGGAGAGGCATTTGCCCAACAGTGGGACGTTATGTGCTGATAAGATAAGATAAGATATTATCAAATAGTATTTTTTAATATTAGCTGTAAATTAAGTTACTTGTGAAATGTTGTGCCACTTTCCTTTTGGTAACGAGTTTCACAAATTACGCACACTCATTATTAATAAAAATATTTCTTGTTACGAGTATATAACAAAAATCAAACATATTGAAACTATACAAAATACTTTAATTTTATCGTTTAAAAGTTTAAAATACAGAGATACGTTGTAAACAACAAGCATCACTTTGGCATATAATGTCAATTCTAGTTCCCGGTACGAACAATGGCGGCGCTTCAAATCGGCATAAACATATTGTAGAGTATAGCCAGTCCAGCGTAATTATGAATATAGATGTCAGTGGTTTACAGTCACCTCTCTCCAATTTTGTAGTAAGTTTTATTTCAAAACCTAACAACATTAAGTGTAAATAATTTAAGAAATTATGGTTAACTTTTCTATGTAAATGACATAGGAAATTTAATCATAATTCGTTCAGTAATTTTTACATGAAGAAGTATATCCCACCGGAGTCTTGCAGTTTTCGTAGAAATATGTAGTCACGCTGCGGACAACCAACAAACGCAGTTTCGCATTAATAATTTTAAGCAAGGACAGCAATCATAACGCGATATCTTTTGGCACTTATCGCACATATGTATAATGTTATGAGAAAGCAAGCCTATGCATCTGACTTCATTAGTCCGATATAAGACACCCAGTTATAAAAAAAAAACTTTACTTTTATCGGTCTTATTAAAAAAGTAGTTTTTAATGAATCTCAAGTTTAACTAAAATCTTTTTGGCGAAAGAAGTACTGCCACAGAATAAATAATAGTACTACGTACAGAAGTTGCACTCTTTTGATGTTGACTGCTTGCCGACGTGTTAATAGCCTACATAATTATTATTAATCCGATAAAGCGCGCACGCAAGCTAAATATAACTTTATCGCTG